TAATTTTGTAGGCCGGCCCCTGTGGTGTAATGGTTATCAATGCAAATCGAAGGAGAAGCTCGGCCAAACCCTAACATTTTGTTTAAGTGCCAACGCTTTTCATTAGCGAAGAAGGGCAGGTTTGTCGTAGAAAAACCTAGACCCCATACCTGACCAAGACGAAATGCGGAGAGCAATAATTCGGCTTAAAAACTTAAAAATCCTTAGAGCTGACGAAATACCGACTTAGCTGTAAAGCCGGCGGTAATTTGATCTGATCAATAGCATACCCGAAGATGGGAAGCTAAGTGTACAGTGTCCAATCCATAAAAAATAAGATCCTGTTATTTGCACCAAAGCTCTATCGACGATTCTTAGGGAAGGGCTGATGTTCTGCATGAACAAGCTGATGTAAACTTGGACCTGAAAAGTCCACCACTAGAAAGATTTTCACATTCTGGGAAAATACACTAGATAAGCAAATCGCCACGCATACCTTTTCTTCAACTTAAATGCCACTTTTGAGAGCACAAAGTGAAGCTGCCTCCACAACACCATGTCTACACAAGTTTTAGCTCCATAAACTTTTCGACAAGCCTCTGTGAGCTATTGGAGCGTAAACGAGGTTGCAGACGATTCACGTTCATGCGAATTCTTAGAAAATACAATAATATCGACGAAAACCATTCGGGTCACGCTGTGGTCTTATTAAATTTGAACTTCACTGCACTAATCAATGTTTTGTAGTCTGAACAAAAATTCCGAGAAAATCTACTTAATGTGGGGTTTGGGCATAATAATTTCAACTTTTTTGTGATTTGTGTCTAAAAACTTGCCGACGTTTAGTAAAAATTTTGTATAATATTCCCGATGAAAACCTTTTCAGTTTTCCATTTTCCAACATCATTTTTTTATAATTTCTAAAATGACATAAATAAAGCCACTGAGCTCAATTCGTCTCAGGTAAGCTGCTGTTGCTTTACCGATTTTTCCCTTTTACACCCAACTACAACCAAATCCAACTAAATGATTTTGTTGCTAAATATTATTTACATAGTTATTTATTATTAAAATAAAATATTTTCTCTGAATACATAAAAAAATCTATGTATATAATTATTTTACTTATAAATTTTGAAACTAATGTTAATATTTTATTTTTATTTTTTACAGGTATGTATTTTCAATTGAATCCATCGCTTAGTATCCCGTAAAAAATGTGCTGAGTAAGTACAAATGAAAAAGTGAGAGTTTCTTCGAAATTCCTTCATTTGTTTGGTGAAGTACTTTTTATCTCAAAATTACCTTTCAAAATTTCTTAATGCACTTGTTATTTAACATCTTACTTCCGTTCACATACTAAGCATCAAAGTGTCTAATGGTTTTCAAACTAACTACTTTTAAGTTGTGATCATTATAATACGCACACACACATACTACGCTATAGGCATATTTTCAACCGTCTTTCCGACCACTGCAGCCTTCTGGTGGAATAGTAAGCGAAAGTACTAATTTCGAGCAATTCGTTATGCTGCAAGCGTACTTGCTGCTAAATCGCCTGAGTGAAGTAGTAATTTTGCAATAGCTTTAAATTGCTATTGATTGCCTATCAACAAACTACCGTTGCAGCGGCTGGATAATTAATTTATAATTGATTCTATGTGCAATAGACAATGAATAATTAATCATTACAGAGATTGCAGTAACTGTAGACGTAAAGAAGTGTATACATTTCTATGTGTGTAGGTTAGGGTGGTCCAAAAATGCATGTGAAAAAGTAAAGTCGGAATTTTTATGATTCACGCCCTAGGATTGTTCTATACCAAAAAACTATATCCCTATTTTTTTATTTTGGAATCAAAAAATATTTAGAGGTCGCTCAAAGCGCCCAAAGTTCTCCATGTATTTTATTTGGGGCAAAAACAACTTTTCGTAGAAATGGTACAGAATTCTTGAAAATCAATATTCTTCGATCGGAAAACTCTCTTTATCTGTAGGAGACAATAATACCCAATCGTTTATTTAACCATTTTTTCATTGCAACTATAATTTATAGCTCCGCCGAAAACCCACAAAAACCCCGAAAAATGCAATGGGGGACCAATAAAAAATCGCTAGTATTAAAAGATGGTTAATTAGACAATTGGGTATTATTACTGATAGTCTCCTGAAGGGAACCAGAGTTTTCTGATCGAAAAATATTGATTTTCAAGAATTCTTTACCATTTCTACGAAAAGTTTTATTTCCCCCATATAAATATATATGGAAAACTTTGAGCTCTTTGAGCGACCTCTAAATATTTTTTTAGTTTCAAAATAAAAAGATAGGAGTACATATACTTTTTTCGATATATCCTAGGGGGTGAGTGCATTACAATTCCGACTATACTGTTTGTGGACCACCCTAGTGTGGACACAGCAATTCAATTATTATTTATCAGATTCATTTATCATATGACTCAAATTAAGATATATCAAGTAAATGGTTTTCAAACAGTCTGACAAGGCTTTAGATATGACAAATTTAAAGAAGGATTCAGTACCAAAAAAATAATTTCAACAACCATAAAGTTTTAGAATAAAATGAGGATTCAATAAAAAAAAAATTAAAAAAAAAAAAATATTCTCATATTTTATCCTCTAATAGCCAAATTGGTCATTGAAATTTCCTAGAATTCGAATAACCGTTTTAAGACTTTAAATCAGTTTATTGGCAGCATTTTCTAGCGCCTCATTTAATATTCAACTAATTCATTTTTAATGGCTTAACATTTAGTTATTTAGCGCACAGTAGCCAGCGCGATGACTTTAATGTTTTCTTTTTCCTTCTACACAAACATACTTATTCGTAATTTAATTTCCTTGCGTATACGCAGTGGGCATTCAAAACGAAAAAAAAATCCATTTCATTGTGCAAAAAATTCGTTGCATTTGTATTAGCAAACACCGTTGGAATTGTGAATGCAACATGCATGCAATAGATTGTCAGCTGGGTGAATGTACGGTAAAAGCTAAGGTGCTGACTGTACTCGCGACATTACAATCACGTAATAGTCGCGTATCAGTACGAGTACTTAACAGTAGCTTTCAGCTGCCGTTCAATAATTAGCTGCCAATGATGATCTTGCAAGTTAACGCAATGTTTGTTTGATGGCTGAGGATTGGCGCGCACGCGCTCTATGCGTAGCTAATTAATTCATTTGATTTACAATAATGAAAAAACAATAAAAAAAAACTACAAAGAGCTTAAGCTATGGAAGCAATACTAATGCAAAATGTTTTTTTGTAGACACAAGTGTGCGGTTTATTGTAGTATTGTTTGCTATCGCATTTGACTGGCACGCGCCAAACCGGTCCTTGGCAGCTGCACCCAAAGTGCCTAAGTCGCTTTTTCTTCTCTCTGTTGTGGCCCAGCAGCAGCTGTTGGTGCGGCATAATTGATGAGGCATTCGATTACGACAGCGAATCGACTCGTGGCCAGCAGAGTCATACATAAACATATGCATATGTATGTACGTATATAAATAAGTAGAATCAAAAAGAGGTAGGCCATTGTATTCAATATTTGCAAAGAAGCCATTATGACTTTGGCTCCAAGCAGAAAAATACTTTGTCAGAAGTTATAAAAAGTTTGAATTTCATAAACATGATGAGGTAAATAAACAACTTCTACGTGGAAGGGGCACTGAAAGTATTTAGAAATTTCAATTATCTAGAAGCTAAAATAACGCCGCGCGACAGTAAATTTTACACACAGAAAAAATGTATATATTCGCGAACCTATGGGTAAATTATAGTGAAACTGCGTACTTAGTTTTTCTCTCCGGCGTCAGGACTTTTTTAGGGGCTTTGAAATTTAAAAAATATGATTATTTAAAAAAATTATCTAAAAAAATCAGTGCAATGTAGGATAACAATAAGGGTATCTGCTTATTTATCACGGTTTTCTCTTAGTTCTCGCCAGTGGCTCTAAGTAAACTGGAGTTTTCATACTTTTATTTATTCTTCATTTCTTTGCTCCGCGCTGACTACTTTCTAACTGTGTGTGGAAATTATAATTTTTTTTATATTTATAGCTGCATCCGATTATGCTGCCGAAACTCTCGCTTTTGACCTTGAGTGGATATTTCTGATTTCGAAAACTATCAGAGAAGCTCCTTTCCTTTGGGATTTAGAACTATCCAACTTCTATATAATATGAGGTCTTGACAGACTTGAATATTCAGCTTCACCTAAGCGGCTTGACAACTTTGATTTTCTGATCTTTTATCGGCTTGTCCAAGGATCGAATCCAGGTCTTTGGTCTTTCCGTGATACATATATGTATGTTCGTTGGAAAATCACTTGAATCCTTAGTTAATATCCGAGAACCAGCCCTCAGTGATTAGTAAAGGTATAAGACCAGCGATTTATTTCTTGGTCTTGGTCCTGGTGATTTTAGAGGGGTGTGCTCTGATGAAGTCTAAGCTTTATTTTTCTGAAGTAGAAGAGCTCTGCTTGCCGCTCAACTTAGCTGAAAAGGCGTTTTAATACTTCCTATGGGCCTACTCCTTGTACTAGGACTATGAATAGTTGGAGTTGGAGCCTTGATCCAACTAGGGCGTAATCGAAGGGGTGGACATTACTTTTTACGGCCATATTCGGTTTAAAGTGCGCAAAATCTGGTGCAGTAAGATGGTTTTAGGGAATGAGTCAGGGGTCGAATTCATTTTTGTTGTCAATTTCGGATTCAGAGGTCAAAAAAACATGAAAATACATAACATTAATTTTTTATAAAGGGGGGTTGTAGGGAATTAGATAGGGATCCTATTTATTTTATGTATTCAAAAAACCTCTCAACTTTGCATGAAAAATTTAACTTCAATAACTGGAGGTGGCTCTAAGGTGTGCTAGTAGAAAAATGGTCCATTGAGATTACTTTTTATGGTCATACTCCTCTCAAGCAGGCCAAAAAACCTAGGAATACTGTTTTTCACCTTCTGGTTCACTACATATTTTTTTTTTGTGTGCCTGTGAAATTAGCATACCAATGCTTTCGTACTTTTTAACTGTAAATGTTCAGGACCTATTTTCTGTTATTTCGTATGTTCACAAAATTTAAGGCCTGAGGCATTTTGGAACAACCTAGGCAAAGAAATTTTACTGTAAAAACTAACCAGATAAAGTTAGCAAATAAGGTACGACACACCTGAAAAATTTCCCCTGGAAGCAAAATTAAAAAAAAGTTGTATGAAGGCGTGCAGAAAATGGTGATGCAGTTCGATACCTCATATCCTAAGCAAAGGAATATTTTTTTGAAATCTGTACTGCTATTTTATTTCACTGCTACAATTCATTAAGCAAATCTTCGTTGAGCGCAAACCACGACAGCCGCCTAGCTTAAAGTCAAGTTCAATTACTACAATGTTGCCGCCAACTCGATATTATTTGCAATGTGATACACTAAGGGCCGTTTTCTCAAGTAACCTGTAACTTTAAAGCTCACTTTATATTTAAAGGTTGCATTAAAATGTATGATTGTGTGTAAATTAGAGCATTTTATTATCGGTTTTAAATTGATTTACAAGCGAGAAACATACATACGTCAAAAACCGATACTGGAAATGCTTAACTTTAGACATATCTTTATTTTTAATCCAACCTTTAAATATAAAGTGAGCTGTAAAGTTTAAGGTTACTTCAGAAAACGGCCCTAAAAGGTACATATCTGACCATCATGAGTGCGCACGCGCGGCTGCTTACTCACAATCAACTGGTTGAGTCGAAGTGCAAGCAGGAACCAGCTACTAATAGCATACACACACATACATGCAAACTTGCAATGTAATCAAGCGTGCATCAATGCATACAGCTCTCCTAAAAGTCAGCGAAGGCAGCAGTCAATGCCACAGCAATCGACCCGATCTACGCTAAATGCACTAGATGCTGCCAAGTAGCAACGAAGGAGGCCAACAGTTAGAATCGATGGTAAATTTATGTGGGGCTCGTGCTAAGGCACTTAATATTGGCTGTTTAACAAGTTCGCAACAATTGCAGTACGCATACATATGTTGCTACATTCAGACACACATACATACATGCAAACAAGTTCAAATATAAATACAACCGCCTGCGCGCCAACATTAAGATGCATTGATGAGCAGTTGCCCAGCTGCACAAGCACTTAAAAAGGCCATCCACACATTTAAAAAGCATAGCTATTGAAAAGCAAGGAAGTGGGCGGCGTGCACAGGCAGGCGAGAAGTGGTGGCTACTACGCAGGCTACTGGTATTGCAGCAACATTTAAGCGCAGCATATGCGCTCGACGCTGACAATGGGTGATATTTATGATGCTGTCAAGTAAACTCGCTGCTTCTATGTTCTTTTTTTTTTGTTTTTTTTTTGCTTTTGTTACTGCACTATCACTTGCTGCCAATTGCTTTTATGTCTTTTTGCTGTTTTAATGCTTCATAATATTAGCGCTGTTCGTTACTTGTTGCTAGACTCTCATTGTTAGGATGGTTGAAGACGCCAAATGATGTTGTCGCCGTTAGAATGGCACACAGCACGCCACACTGTACGTAGTAAGATGAAGCAGGCAGACGCGGGAGGTGGAGAATCTTTAAATGCGGACATAAAACCGGCTATACCATTTGTATAGCGCGCTCTTCGGTACATGGAACGACTAGAAAATATTATTTAATTGTACTCATAAAGCCAAGTTTTCAATTACCTTTCTTAGAATATTAAATCAGAAGACTTTGGGCACGAACTTGTATTTTACACTATGGCAATTGGTTTTGAACACGCGAAGAAATCGACATAGTAACACTCACATAATGAAAAAGTGCGCGGTAATAGTGGCTTGTGACTGAAAAAAATAGTTATTTTGTGGTCTTAACCAAAATATATTGTAATTATATTGAGGGACAAAGACCGTCTACCTCCCGCTTCGAGTTAAAAGACAAGAAAGAAGAGTATATGGACGATACAAAGACTTAAATTCTGTAAAACCAGGTCGAGTTGATCGAGAAGTCCCTCAGCTGTAAGGATCTTTGTCTTATGGGGAGACAAAGGGAGACCTCTGTGCTTTATTTGAAAATACAAAGCACAGCTTAAGTCGCAAAAGCAAAGTTGAAATGTAAGGCGTTACTCTGGATAAGAATATGAAACATAAAGGAAACATTACTCAGAGTAAAGATAAGGATTCTATAGCTCAAAGGTGGGAGGAAGAGTTTTCTGACAACACCGTTCTCGTCGCTGCTCATTTTGTTCAGCCGGTTACTGTAGTTTCCTCCAGGTTGGGGTTTTTACTTGTATGGCGGTTTCAAAAAAAAAAAACCCCATACAATTGAGGCGTGTTCATTTTCAGTGGCATCCAAGCTTTAATTAAAGCTCTGAGCTCCGTCACTTTAAATTTAACTGAACTGTCGCCTATCTTTGTCAAATGGACATATAGAGAACTGTATTGCAGATGGGCTTGCCAGAGGCACGACCAAACTTAATCTTTTAGGAAAATAACGCACTTTTGTAACTTCCAGATGCTCTTGAAAAAACTTTTTTATGTACAAGCAGATTAAATATGAATGCAAGGTACGACCTATATTATCTCTGTGAATACCGGGCTTGGCCTAGATCTCGCAGCTTAAGTATATTCTCTAAGGAGTAAAGATATATCTCTTACCATTGGTGGTTTTACGTGCCCTTGCCCAATAGGCTTCGTCATATTTTCTGGGACCGTCTTGCACTGTGTAGAACCGCTGTTCGACTTCCGTACACGCCATTTTTTCACAACCTTACATACACTTTTGCCAAGTGTTTGGCCGATCTTCTCCTCGAATTTGTGGTGTGCGTCTTGATGTTATTACTGAAATAGAGGCACGTAAAATTTTACGCCGCCTACACAAATGGAGCTTATGAAAAGCTTTTTCATGACAGAAATACACTCGGAGGTTTTCCATTGCCTGCTGAGGGTCGACCCTCTTCTTCTTCTCTGTAACCGCCTAAGCGATTTGCGCCAAATTGCCTAGGGTCGTCCGCTTTTTCTAATTTATATGTTGACCGGACTAGGTATCGAACTCAGGTTCTGCGGAGTGGTAGTATGCACATTTAGCCATAAGTTCTGGATCGCAGAAAAACTGTAAACAATTAATTCGAAAAAATTTAGTATACAATTTGGATGGTAATTATGTATTTATTAAAATCTTGCTTTCATCAGAAATAATTTACGCAATCGCCGGCAGATTTTAAATATCTTTTACGATCATTTTGCGACACATTTAATTGCTTTATTGTAGATGTACGCAATTACAAGTTTGCGTAAAATTCTTTTCATGCGTACATGAATAAATATATACTTTCATATGTATGTATGTGTAAGTTCGTGGTACAATTTTATTGTCGCAAGATTAAGACTCAAATAAAAATTTATTACCATAATCACATTGCTCGTTTTTAAGTATTTTGCTTGATTACGTATGTATTTAGCTGCTTCACCACGCCAGCACGTATACATATTTCTGCGTAATGGGTTCTGTTGTGAGGTAAAAATAAAGAAAAAGAACAAACTTTTTTCAGAAGACAAACTACAAAATAAAAATGCTCATGCCCCAGTCAGTGACTTGTAAGGGCAGCCGTGATTTTATGGGGTTTTTCTTTACTCATTCTCAAGAGAGTCCTGGTTTTATGTGGACCTTAGCTATTCCAGATCTGTCTGGTAATCCTATATAATGCAGTACTGCTCTATCAGTGATTGGCTTTCAAGTGATAAATATTGTTGCTTTTTATTTGTTTGCTGCGCGGGCCACATTTATTGCAGAACAGAGCTTCGCTGGTTAATCCCCGTTCTAGTTCCCGTATACATCCCTACGCCTTGGGACAAATGCGGTAGTGAGAATATATATCGGGAAGAGGCATTTTAGTAAATTTTGACTTTACTTATAAATTTTAACAAACGCTCATCAAAAGTTTTGAGTGTGTGTTTTTGTGGCCCATTCATTATCATCACATTTTAGTATAATAAAGTGCAAGTTTAAAGAAGCGGCCGAACCCATTCCATATTTTATTCTTGTACCCAAGGCTGAGACCAAGCAATGAGCGGCGGTGAGCGGCTTAAAATTAAAACATACTAAATGCTATTGAAGTGGCCACACAATGAGCTCCATTTCTAGATCCCTACCCCTATCTTGTTCGTTCTAATTGCATTTATGTTATTCTGGTTTCCTTTATTTAATTTTTATATTTATACTCTATCGATAGTAACATCCATTAAAATCATCAATAACAAAACCGATAAAAATGTTGGTAACTAAATAGTTAAAAAATTCGATGACAATATCGATAGAAAAATAATAACAAAATCGATAAAAATGTCGATAACAAAATTCATAACGAATTCGATAAAATATCGATAATAAAATTGATAAAGATATCTATAACCAAACCGATAAAAATATCGATAAAAAAATCGATAAGAATATCGTTATTAATTGCGATAACAAAATCGATAAAGAATATCGAAAACAAAATCGAAAAATATAGATTAAAAAATAGATAAAAATATCGATAACAATTCCGATAACAATATCGATAGAAAATCTATAACCAAATTGATAAAAATATCTATAACAATATCAGTAAAAATGATCGATAAAAATTTCTGTAGCAAAATCGATAAAAATATCCATTATTATATCGATAAGTTCCGAGAATCCTGAAAATCTCAAAAATTTCGAAACAGTTATCAGACTGAGTACCTGTGTCTCTATCTATACCCTTTTCTCTAAAATTAGAATTAGGAATTTTCACTTCAAAAACTCGATTTTGAATAAGCTAATAGGAAATGATCCTACAACTCCCGTAACACATTTCCCTTACTTTTGTTCAAAATGGTGTTATCGGTGCAAGTTCTAAGACATTTTCTTTCAAAATTTCTACATATCATTTCAAAGCAAAGCTTACGGTACCTTGCCACATTTGGCGTCAGCTCATACAACCCATAAAATACGCACAGCGGCCGTAGCTACGTAAAAGACCATCTATTGATTGCAGTTACTTTTTAATGGCGCGTTGTCCATTTTCGCCTTTGGCTTGTTTGACACTTTGTTACTTGTTAGTTCTTATTTTTATTTGCGTCGTCAGCACATGCTCATTCTATGTAAGTTTACTATGAGCATGCGCGAATGACAAGTTGTCGCAGTTGGTCATGTGCAAGTATGAGCCGTGTCTACATTGGCGGCTGGCACAAGAAAAACAAAAAAAAAAAAAAAAAAACAAATACAATTAAACACAAATCACCACTCTTCGTGCAAATCCTACTGATGAAATTTTGCTCGCGCGCAGTGACAAAATGACAAAATGATTTATCCTCAACTTACTGCGACCACATAATAACTTGTTTACAGCAGAGAAACTACGCATTAAACGCACATAAAAAGCTGTGCGGCTGGTATAAGAATATACCTAAGAGTATGGACTTTTTTTTATAGGTTTTTAGAGTTTTTTTTTGTGTGTCTTTTGAAGCTTGTCGTTACTGTCGAAGCAATCAATCGCTGAGATTTACTGTTGCCGTTTGTCGCCAATAATTTTTTCTCTAATTTTAATTTAGCGTTTGTACTTTTTTGTATCGTAACTAGCTTGTTGCCACTTCTTGGTTTTTAAGCATGTGACTGATTTCTAATTAAATTTTTAAATGATACTGATGTTTTAACAGCAAAGGCAAACAATGTCTCTAACGATCGGTCAGTTAGTAAATTGAAGGAATTGTACAAACTATGGCTAAAATGGCGACAATTGCAAGTGACTATTTTTTAGAAGGAGCAACAAATTAAGAAAATTCTTCAGCCTTGTTCGGGAAGCAACTATATCGTTTCATTATTCATGAGGCCAAAGTATAAATAGATGCCATCACCAAAGACTGTTAGCATTCGGCCTCTAACTCCGAAAACTTAAAATAATTTCTTACTACTGGTTCAGAGTATGGAACAGAAAACATGGTTGTTAATATTAGGAATATTTTTGATATTTAAGACATTTTTAGTTTACGATGCAAGAATGCGGTAAAACAATTCATGATTGGCAAGGAAGAGAAAACTAATAAATGCAAGTACAGAATTTCCTATTCGGTCAGGTCCAATCCCTTGGGCACTAACGTAAGTAAATTAATTAGAAGAATCATTCTTGTTCTACAGTGGGCAGCAGAAATGAGTACGTGGTAATTTTTGCTTTTATTTTTTTATAAAAACATGGTTTATGCTTTAATCAAAACCATATAAATTAAATTTTATACTGAGCTTACAAAAATTTTGCAAATTTTCCTTAAAATTTTAAGCTTTTTAATCCAGCAAATAAAATATTAAAAATCAACGCAACCGCTTAAAACTTGCACTTTATTGTACTAAAATTTAATGGGCTATGAAACTACATACTCAAAAAAAAATCTAAAAAATCACATTAAAAAGCTCAACATTTTAATGAAAATTTGTTAAATTTTTCTAACCTCTGTATAAAGTTTGATTTATACGGTTTTGACTAAAGTATGGACCATATTTTTATGAAAAAATAAGGAAAAAAAGTTGCTTTAAAAACCTTGCAAATATTTAACTAAAATCGCCATGTACTAATTTCTGCTCCCCACTTGATATACTTAGGGCCAATTTCACAGTGCGTAGTTAACTCCGAATCGACAGTTAACTAGAGATTTTCAGTACAAAAATCTGTAGTTAACTCCCGATTCCGAGTTAACTACGCATTGTGAAATTGGCCCTTAGTACTGAAAAACCGCTAATTAGGTGCTCTACCATTTCTTTTGCTTTTGCTGATTTCTAGCTGTGGCAAGGAAGGTTGTGGAACAGTCAAATTCCCTCAAAAATACCTCTCAAGGTCCACTGTTTTGCTAAACCCGCAATGAGTCGAAATATTTACAATTGGCCAATTGGCTAAAAAAATTTGCAAGAGACCAGTTGAGCAAAATTTTTGAATTTTGGTTGTATTATTTTTTTTTAGTGCAAAGTGCAAAAAAGTAGCAATTTTGAAGAAACTCGATTCTACTGTTCCAGTTAATGAGTGTTACACAATGAAAACAATTGTAGGGTTCTCCCAAAAGGAGAAAACTTAAAAAAAAATTGAAATTTTATAAATAATTTTCAACAAAACTATTTTTTTTTGGTTTTCGGTTTTTATAAAAATATTGGGTATGCAGTTTTATAGATCATAAAATTTAGTAGAATAAAGTGCAAGTTGCAAGTGGCTAAGAGTTTGCGTTTATTTTTAATAATATAACAAACGCTTTTATTTCCCATTTAGCATGCAGATGCGCTCGAAATGTTAGCGAAAAAGTTATTAAAAATCAACGCGACCTCTTAGCCACTTGCACATTGCACTTTATTATACTAAAATTTAATTAACTATAAACCGCATACCCAACATTTTTCTAGAAACGCAAATTTTTATTTATTTTTTTAATTTTGGTGAAAATTTTTATAAAATATTTAAAACCTTTTTTGTGAAATTTTTTTTTTGTTTCGTGGGCCCGCTAAAATTTTCTTTTAACTCGTTTTTATTTGGTAACATTTATTAACTGGAACAGGAGAATCGACTTTCTTAAAATTTGCTACTTTTTTGCAATTTGCACTAAAAAATTTAATACAAATGAACAAAATTTCAAAAATTGGGCTCAACTAGTATCTTGCAAATTTTATTAGCTTTAATTAAAAAAATTTATCAAATTAAGTGAAAATTGAAAACTCCAGTGTATTGTGAACACTATATTTCAGTTTTGAACCACTGTGCGGCGGCGATTTCTTACTTTGTGCGCGATACACCACACATTTTAAGATATCTTGGTCCAAAACTTATGAACATAGACAAAATAAAATATTAATTATACATTTCTTTTACTTCAGGAATTTTTTAGATTTGCACGCGATTTTCCAAAACATGTCGATGCTTTGGATTTTTTTAAATTCTTTTTGAAATTTTCTGGATCACTTATAGATATCATTTTTTTGTGGCTTTTCATGTTTCGTTTGGCACATTTCGAGATTCCACAGAAATTTTCAGATCCAATGGTATCTAACTTTGCTTTGTTTTTTCCTTAGAAAATAAAAATCAACATGTTTTTGTTTCTTTTACTGATACCATTATTAGGTGCAGTTAAGGAAACATTTTGTTATTAAGGTAGTGTCTCTGCATTCCATTAATCTATTTACTTGCATACATATGTACTTGCTTGACAACTCAATTTTACCGCAAAATTTCAACTAAATTGTCTAGTAGTTATGTGCTTTAATAACCCACATTTATAACACTTTTTTTCATTTGACCATATCCCTTTGTAAGCTCTATCCCTACATGTATCGCAATTTATGTGCGCAAATTAGCAAACTATCTGTGCCTTAACGCATAATGATCTAAACACGGAAAGGTAGAAATCTCCTAAAAGCAGGAAAATAAAAATTAAAAAGCGCTTGCGACAAGCCTGCAGCTGTGCAAGGCAATCAGTGGCCGGCTAAACCCTATACAGCGAGGCCAAACCATAAGAAGCTGCCTACTGTGCACAAATCGGTTTATGCTGCATATAAATTTGCCACACAGAAAAAAGGGAATAAAGCACAAGCGACCACACTTAAAAGAAATGAGCAACATCAGCCAGAAGTAAAGAGGCATCAGCATCATCACAGTCAGCATGAGCAGCAACTATTTATGTACATCAACAGCAGCATCAGCCACTCAAGCATCAAGCGAGCAACAGATGCGAGCGCACGTGTGCATTGTGCTTGATATGGCAAACCTTAAATAAATAAATAAATATATGCGGAAAAAGAAAGAAAAAAGGGTTAAAAATGCAGTCGCTTACGTTGAAGATGCCAGTTTTTTTTTATGGATGCCAAAATAAAAGATACAAAATAACAATAACTAAGATGAAATAAAATAAAAATTGCGGCAGAGTTGCAGCAATCGCCGTAGTGTGCTAGCTTTTTCGCCACGCCAACAGCTTGTGCACGGCGGATACGCATTTAAGCGTAAATTGTGAACGGCCACAGCGTGGTTGGCAAGTCATCTTCTTGGAAGGTTGTGATGTATGCCAGCAGCGTAAGATGTGTTCTTTCTTATGCAAGTTTGTTAGTGTAAAAGCCTCTTAATGCTGTGTTGGCTTGTCAGGCAAAATGAAAGCTGAGCTGGTTAGACAAGCTATCGGGGAAAATAAGAAGTCATGCGAGAAATGTGCAGCATAAGTATATACATATTTACATACATATGTATATATGTATCTGAAGGTAATATATACTTATGTATGTATGTATCATAGTTGCATAAAAGAACACAATAACCGCCCAACAGTGTTTAAAGTAGCTGTAAGCATAGTACCCTCGCTGCTGATGCTGTAACTGATTTGTTGCCAACATCAACGAGTTCTTGTTCTGGCAAAAGCGAATAATTTTGTTGCTTAAACTTGTTATTGGCCTTAAAATTTAACTCTCGCTGCTGGTAAGGGCAACTGATAGTGGAGTGCCTTCAATCGGGTTGCACCACTGATTGCATTGTTTTGATATTGCAAGCGAATTTTCGCGATACTTAAGGCGATAATATTTTTAAGTAACTTTTTTAGCTTATTTTTGATGATTTTATGACGCTTCAAAAAAAGTTTTAAATCCCAAGTTTCTATATATACATAAATACTAAGCGAAACAATGATGGATGTTTAGCGTTCATCCCACACCACAATTTTCAGTATCGTATAATCGGAGATGATACCTCACCAGAATGTCTGGCATACGTATTCGGTTAGGTGACGTAGAACTCAAAATATTCAGCATATATTCATACATTTATACGTATCCATGTATATACTTTTACGCGTCAATATATAACTCTGTTTTACATACATCAATATGTGCATAGGTGCATTCTTCAAAGGTTCAACGCAAGGCACATTGAACAGGTGTTATCAGTAGAGCAGCTGATTTGATTTTTTTTTTTTTTTGTAAATTGTTTGGTCTGGAAAATGTCAATTATTTTTAATTTCTTCTTACAAAAATTCACAATTGCTAAAATCTATTTTCCACTCAAAACGAGCGATTGAATTGCAGCTTCCAACTGAGCAGTACAAACGCTGATTTCTGAGCCTTGCAAAATATGAATCAATGAATCGAGAAGAAAATAAATTTAGTAAGAAAGACAATTGCAACAATTTTTATTTTTGATATAGAAGAAAAATCAGAACAGTTTTTGACACTTTTGATACCAGAAGCAACAAAAAAATACACGCAAATGTTGTTTTTGCTTTAATGCTCTAAACCTGCATGATAGGTCTTGGTTCGCGAGCCACACTCTTTGTCATTCCATTAAGTATTCGTCGATATTCTTACACCAACAGATGTCCATATCGGCGAAGGTTTCAACAGTTATGGGATTCAGGTGCCAATTAGGAACGTAAAAACGGAGTACGCATGTTGATGCCAAAACGACGAGAGTAAAATAATACTCATCATACATGCCGTGGTGGTCTTGGAAAGTGTTCTCACTACTAAAAACCGAGCAACACACAAACAATTATGACTCCTATCGGGAAGGAAACCCTCCTATCCGCTAATAGAACAGTACATCAACATCAGTTAATTCTATGAACGCTCAGATAAGTCGCAGCGTTAATCGCAACGGCTACTGTGAAAGAAAACGTTCCTAGTAGCGTTGGACGTATAAAGGCTTTTGGAAAAGTTTCTTACTTCACGCTACTAGGAGACATTCAAATATTCTGTAGAAAACCACAGGGAATCAAACGAAAAGGGCTTTTTTGAGGTCAAACTTCGAGGCCATAAAGAGTTAACAGGACAATTCTGGCAAATGTCTTTCAATTCTCCATAGTCTTTCGACAGACAAAAGTCTTTCGTTAGACAATTAACAATTCTTGCAACTATCTTGAAAGCTATTTTCGGTATTTCGAAATATCTGTTTTCAAAAGATTAAACGAAATTAAAAACATATAAAATACAAAAACATACCATATAAAACAATACAAAAATACAAATTAAAATAAAAATATATATATAAAAAAAAATTCATTAATTAAAAAATAAAAAATGATAAAACAAATTTCTAAAAATTAAATGATTAAAAAAAAATATGTTTTATTTTGAAACCACAGAATCTAGAAGTTATAAGAAAATTAAAATAAAAAGAAAAAATATTTGACCAATAATATAATTTAAGAATTTAGAGTAAAATCAATCAAAAATATAAAAATAAATAGAAATAAGTAAAAAAAATATTTTTAAAACAATAAAATCTAAGAATTACAAAGAAATTTAATAAAAAACAACAACACATTTAAAATAACAAATAATACGTTTCTAGAAGTTAAATAAATTTAAAAAAACACATTATTTTGAAGACAACAAAATCAAAAACTTAAAAGGAAAATAATCAAAACAGTTCCTAAAAATTTAGTAAAATTAAAAAAAAAAATTTCAAAATATAGTTTAAAAATTCGGAGCAAATTAGATTAAAAATAGAAAAAATAAATAAAATTAGTTCCTAAAACTTAATAAAAATAAACAAAAAAAATTTTTTTAAAGAGTAAGATCTAAAAGAGAAACAATTTAAAAAAGAAGAAAAACATGCGTTTCTAAAAAATTAAATAAATTAAAAAAACAACTTTTTCTTTTGAAAACAGCAAATCTAGAAATTAAAGCAAAATAACATTAAAAAAATAAAAATAAATAAATTTAAAAAAAGAAAATTCAGTTTTTCAACTAAAATCCTTTCCGTCTAGTGCTCAACATCCTCTGCCTCTACTATCTTAACGACTTCCCGCCATTTTTCCACCAATCAGCTTGTATACATACGTACAAACATCTCTCTAGAACTTGCTTTAGCTTGTGTCTATACATATGTAAGTGTGATTTTCCAATGCACACAGGACTAGTCTGCAACGAAAATCATAGCCAAACCGGACTTTGTACTTTGGCCTTTTATGAGTACTAAACTAAAGATTCTGGTTCTATGCATTTTATATGGCAATCAGTTGACGAACTTTTAAATGTATTTTGCGCCTTTTTTCACTTCAATCATTCCTTTTTTGTCACTTTTTTTTCCTCACTACACTCGCAACCATTTATTTGCAATTTGCGCGCAATTTTCCTGCAGCATCTGATTTTTGTTTTCATATTCAACACCAAAACTGTGCAGACTAGTTGGTCCAGCTGTTGTTTGTTGTCTGCTATTTTGCTGCTTGCTGGCTGTCATTTTTTGTTTGCTTTATTTTGTTGGTGTGCTGCTCGGTGCTTTTTTTTCTTGACTTGTTTGCTGACAAGTTGTTGTGGCACGTTCGCCGCGCGTGCACACGATTTGTGATTCGCCACACAGCAGAGCCAACAGCAACATATTTATCACGGTGTAAATACAAAACAGAAAATAAATATATATTCTAGTCCTTATTTAGTTCTGTGGCTGCATACTGGTTGATTGCTAACAATTGCAAGTTTGTTTTTTTTTCGCTGCTCGTAATTGTTGT